ATTCGAACACTTATACAAACCTTTCATGCACGGGTATATTATGCACGTTGTGCAAAGCATGTTGAAAGTGCTGCAACGAGGAACGATTATCATAATCTTGCCGATGATGCAGAAGATGTAGAAGCTGCGAAAAATTGAAAATTTTCATTGACTAGGAAAATAGTTTATTAGTGAATTTAGTTTGATTATCAAAATCAAAGGACAAGTTGATTATTATACTGAGACTTTTTGTACGTTTCAGTGAGACAATCTTTATAGTGTTAACTATATGTTTAAAACGGTCAATAGATATTGTATATTAATTTTTTATCAAATGCATGCAACTTACACGGCTACTAATATTTAACATAAATTAAATATCTTTCACGCTCTTTTTTCTTTGTTTATTTTATTATAAATATCAGATTGGTCTTAAATTTTACCAATATATACGCACGATAATCATGCCTCGTTTTGCTGTTAATGAAATTTTAAAAGCTTTTTCACTGGACACGCAAAATACAATCCCATTAATATTCGTACATTGAACATTGAAACCGTTATAATTTCGTAAAAAGAAATTGTACAACAATAAACCCGAGTTCATTTTAAATATTGAAGCCTCTACATTCGAAATGTGTCGTTGATTTTATTTTATAATATTTTTATATCATGTAACAAATGAAAGTGAAGACATTTTTCTCCTCGAAAACATTGTAAACTGCCACAGTACGTAAAAACGTTGAAAAATTTTTCTCGCGACTGAATCTATAGTGAATTTAATGATTAGAGCCTTCCGTTTCTAACAACCTGATATACGATTTTTTTTTCATCATTTTGTTGAACTTTGAATATTCAAGAAATCGCAACATTTTCGTCGTCGTATTCATGTTCACCTGATAGTTCAAATTGGTACGACAAATTCGAAAAAGGAGACTTCAATCTCCAAGCTCATTCTAGATTCAGTCGCGAAACAAACTTCTTTTACATACCACGACGATTTTTACGTACTGTAACGATCTACACGATGAAAAATGAAACATGAAGCTTCAAAACGAACTCCACTGTTTATCGTTGCGTGATCTCTCTTTCACAAAGTTACAACAGTTTCGATAACTAAGTGAAGCTATATCGATTTGGTAAAATAATCAAGTGGAAACAATTTAACGAGCAACTGCACGCGCACGTTGCGAATTTTTACAACGGGAGTAGGCTCGTTTCGGCCCGGCACATCGCGCCGATTAATCGGGCAAACGACTCACGGGAACGATCAGGCTGTCAGGGAGGATCGAAGGAAACGTTTTCGATGAAAACGGGCCGCGATCACGGGAATCGACGGTGCCCTACAAAGGGAGCCACCTTGCACGCTGGTCCTAATTGTCTGGGGAGAGCCAGGTGGGACCTTGCAGTCTCTTCCTGTCCGTTCATCAAACTGTCATTCGACGTCAGACCGTCGGGGAAGACGGAGCCGTCCATCCGGCGCAGGAATTCCTCGACAGGGAATCGACTGATCGTTAACCGCGGAAATTACGTATGCATGAGCGGCCAGGAACAAAACACAGATGCGGCGGAATATTATTTTAACATTCCCCGGTTCGAGCGTTTCGCTCGGCGGGGCCTGCACACGTTAAAAGGGAGAGCCAGCCAGCCACGTGGCTGCTTTTGGATACTCAGTGGCTTCGCGGCTGAAAATTCGCTCGCGGGGTGAAAACGCCGCTGGAAAATTGACCGCAGCCTCCTTCAGTGAAAATATACCGCGATATACAGCGACAACGCTTCCACCGTCTTTCTGTTTTTCCTCGTTCTCTCTTGCCTATTCCTCGTTACCCTCAACTTCCATCGAGGAAGTTATCAGAATCAGCGTGGATAAGAACTTTCCATTCGTTCGTTTCGGCATTTATCTGATCTTTGGTCACTGTACGAAAAGTGCAATTGACTTTTACCCGTATTGTGTGCAACAAAATAACGTACCTCGGTCAACGAACAAAGAGAAAATTCTTCCTCATTTCCGATAGAATACGCAGAGTAACAAGAAGCCGTGTGTTCCCTTTCGTTTCTTCGTCTTCCTTTTCTTCAATTTCTTTCTAAGTTTTCGTTTCCGATCGTCTTCTACTTCCCCTTTTATTAAGTATCGTACTTAATAAAAAGAAAAAAAAAAGAAAGAGAGAGAGAGAGAAAGAAAACGGAGGCAAAAAAGAATAATTATTTTCCGTGGCCAAACAGACGCAATTTCCTGCGAAACAGGCGTGCCAGTTCTCGATGG